ATATTATAATGTTATGAGCCCCTGACCTTTACACTACTTATTTTAAATTCATGGCGGTCAAAGACTTTTAGGCATATTGATTATTTGCCAATCACCATAGAAGTAGAATGTAAAAGTAGCATGCCCATAGGCTGCAAATGGAGAATTACGAGGTTATTTTGTATAAAGATTAAAAACGAATGTGTATAAGATGATGGTTGTTCACAAAAAGTGAAAATCTTGCAACACAATAAGGCTCTCGATAGTACTGTTGTCAATAGCCTCCCTCCATAAATTAAACGATGGCCCTTGGTGTAACTCAAAACTCTATTTAAAGTAAACTGTTGAAGCGTGAAAGTGCTTTTGGCTCATACTTTAAAAAGGTCAAATATTAACCAAGAAGAGAGAAATACAGGAGAGGGGAGAGAAAACGTTGTTGTTCATTTAATCCACCCTGTTTCTCAGTTGGTATACATTCAAAGAGGGAAAAGCACATGGGTCCCACAGAGGAGCACTCTCGGTTCAGCGCATGGAGGAGGCATGAGTTTACACCCACTTCTAAATGGGGAAAGTTTGTTTTACACCTTAAACAGAAGCTCTGCTTTCTGTTCAGTCCGACTCACACGGAACCACAGCCGCACTTAAACCCCATGTGGTGTTTCACTTCATGAAATCAGTAGGCTTTTATTTTAAAATCATACAATTAATTACCACCAATTTAACCATTCTCCCCCTTTATTCGCATCACACAGTCGGCTGACTGCCATACTTATTCGATTCTATAGCCTCTGTAGAGTTTACATATACAGTCACTCATTTAAACGCCCAGAGTGTGTAGAGGCTACGTGCACACACGCTAATTGGTAGGTTGCACATGGGCTTTGGGGATATAAGGAGCCCAAACCATGAGTGAAGCCTGTAGATTGTACTGTGATTACCTCGTGCAGTGACACGTGTCTTTCTGCTTGTGTTTAGACTCTGTGCATTGTATCCATGTACTGAAAAGTTTCTAATCACATCCCTTCCACCAAAAACGTCAGAAAAAGTGAAGAATATATTTCATAATTTATTACAGTTATTCTAATTGAATAGCTTGACCTTTCCTTAACCCTCAAAAAATGGTTTATGGTTAATAGACTGACGCTGCAAATGGGTTTTCGTCCACAACAGGTCAGTCAGTGCTGACTGAGAAAAGCAAAAACTGTTTGAAGCTATTTTATCATGCGGAGAGCCGATTTCGTGGGCTCTTCTGCTCCCTTGAGACTCACAAATTCATTCAGAGTAAGAGAGAGAGAGAGAGAGAGAGAGAGAGAGAGAGAGAGAGAGAGAGAGAGAGAGAGAGACAGAGAGAGGA